GTAATAACAATAGCGACAATAATAGTAATAACAACAATGCCAAACCTAATAGGGTTATTATGAGAATTAAGTGGGCTAATGTGTCTGAAGTACTCGGAATCCTGCCTAGGTCATGGATAGCTATTAATAATGGCTGCTATCCTTTATACTCCATAGCTTCCTTGTAGGGTATCCTGGTGTTTTAGTCAAATGTAGCCATTTACACCACTTAATAAAAATTTGGGTTTGATAAATTGAGAATCATGTTTCCAGATTCAATTTTTATATTAACATTTTGGGGAAAATATTATCTTTAAAGAAAGCAAGACAATTCATCAGATGGCCAATTCAATGAATGGTCAATTCTTCATTTGCATGAACATATGATTTATTTAAATAAATATATATACACACATATACATAGTCTTCATTAACATATTCTCTACTGTATTCAATGTGCATGTTTAAGTAGTATATTCTTTGTATGTTTCTTTTGGTAAATAACTTATTAGTATATTCATTGATACACAGAGCAGATGCCATGAAGTTTAAAAAATAACTAATATTCTTGAAACATAATTAAGATATTTTCATTTGACTTTGAAACAGTGTTAAGGCTAACGTGATAAAGTTTATTTAGAACAAAATGTAAAACCATTCAAGTATTGTGTGTACAAGTAAGATTCTTAAAGATAGGAATAATGCCTTTTTTTCTTTGTTTCCCCTACCCAGCACAGAAGATGGGACTGGGGATGTTCACTAAATATTAATGAATGGAGAGGTAAGAGGTGGGGAAGGGGCGGGGAGGAGGAGAGGAATAGAGGGAGGGAAGGAAGGAAATGAGCTAGTGAAGAAGAAGATAAGGTGAAAGGAAAGGAGGGAAAAGGATAATACAGTAATAATTTCAGAAATACCAGAGACTCTTAGCTGATCAAAAATACAATGCTCAAAGACATGCAGCTCTAGCCCAAACTCTGCCACTCACTGATCATTAGTCCTTGGGTGAGGCACCTGACCTCTCCATGCACAAGTTCCCTCATTTAACATGAGGATACCACCTACCCTCACAGCACTGTCATGAGAATCAACTAGGATAACACTGCGGTTCAGAGTGCTTTGTCAATTTTTAAACAATGGATGTGTAAGATATTATCATTTTTGAAGAATTATTAAAACACATCAACAGCATGCCATTGCTGTTAGAATGTTTTTCAATTTTAGGTTGCAATGAAGTATAAGGTTTAGATCATAAAATCCAGTAGTTTTAAAGTTATCTGAGTTGATAGTGCATCTAGCACATAATTTTTCAAAGGGACTCTGACAAACACTATGACATCCAGGATTAAGAAAAGACCTAAAAATGATGTCATGTGTGGAAGAATTGAAAACACTATGCTTGCTTAGAGAACTAAGGCAAGTTATGACAGTAATATTAGAACACTGATCTATAGCTGCTTAAAAGTAATATATACGTTGTTGCAGAAGCAAAATGAGAGCCATTGAGTGGAAATACACAGAAGCAGATTTCAGTCACATGATAATTTTCCAATAATAAGAGCTATCTGTGGTAGGTTGAATAATAACCCCCAAAATACCCAGGTCCTGATTCCCAGAACCTGTGACTATGTCACCTTACATGACAAGTGGGACGTTGTGGATGTAATTAAGATTAAAGACCCTCACATGGGGAGATTATCCAAATGGGCCCATAATTATATGAATTCTTAAAAGCAGAAAGGTTTCTTTCCTGGCTGTGAAGAAAGGAAGACATGACTATGTAAAAGGGGTCAGAGAGATATAAGTTTGCTGGCTTTGAAAATGAGGAAGGCGGCCATCAGCCAAG